TTCTTATACTGAAAACAGGGGTATGTGTTTGTACCATAATTTGGCTTAAAATTAGTTTATTTGGGCAGGCCAAATTATTGAGAGTAGTTGGTACATTTATCTAGACGTTTGCTCGAGAGTTTTGAAACATATATGTGTGCAGGAATTTGTGATGCCCTGCTTGGATGATCTGTGTATAATGCTGGGTGCAGCAGCAATTTATTTGGTTTGGACTTGTCACATGCATGCAGCCTAGGAGAGATTTGCGACGGGGATCAGTGCTTGATTGATGATTAATTTGCCGAGCTGTGCTGCTGTTGCCGCACGGGACCCGTGCCACATAGACCGAAGGGTGACAGTGATCAGGCTGGAAGACTGGCATTAGATTGCATGCGAACTATTTATTTTTTGTTTGTTAATATTTAGATGGAGTCGGATTCTGTTAGCTAATTTATTGGAGTTTCCATGTACGCTCAAGTGGTGCGGCTAGGGTTCAGGTGCTCCTATAAATATTAGTGTATTAGGTTAGTTTTGAGGAACCCCCCCAAAAAAAAATATCAATCTACTATTTTCTTGTTATTTACTTTCCTATTATTTTCTATTTTGTTTTCATAGCTGAGTTCTGGTAACCCTAGAATTTAGTTAATATTTGCCGTTTTGCGCTGAAAAACGGTCGTGCTTCACCACGAAAGCGAGGAGATTATCCTTTGCTAGTTTGCTGATATTTACCCTCTTTGCTAATTTCCTTATAAATTAGTCGTGTGATTCCGCGAAAGTGAATTAATCTTGAAATCGGTTCCACTAGCCGATTTTGATCTATTGATTTTGGCGACTCTATTGTTTACACTGCAAATTGTTAGGTAATGTTGTGTTGGCCACAAAAAAGCGTCAACACAGGGATACACTTATATATAATACTAGAAAAAAATACCCGTACGTTGCAATCGGTAAAGGCTATTGAAATTCATTGTGATAACTCGCTTGGATATATATTTTTTCTAGAAAATCATGTCAAGTTAACATGCGAGTTTATTTTAAAGAGATTTCTTATACGACTACTTCTGTATTCCAAAAGCGAACGAATTTAAAACCTGACTTAAATACGGATCTATATTTCTAAAAGCGAACGAACTTAAAAACCGACTCATGCACGGATGACGTACCAAAGTACCGGCAAAAACATCTCCAATTTTTATAATAGTAGAGATTAAAAATATATAAATAGTGAAGTGTTGTAAGGAAATACTCCCTCCGTACTCGTAAAGGAAGTCGTTTAGGACAATGTTTAAGTCAAACCTTGGGTATATAAATCATGAATAACTCTCAAGTTGTTGAGTTTGAAAATATAAAAATTATATGAATAGATTTGTCTTGAAAAATACTTTCATAAAAATATACATATATCACTTTTCAATAAATATTTTTATAGAAACAAGAAGTCAAAGTTGTGTTTGGAGACCGTGTCGCTATCCTAAATGACTTTCTTTACAAGTACGGAGGGAGTAATCCATAGCATAGCATTCTTTGCATCCGATTCCTTATCAATCTTCTCCAATTCTCCTCTCTAGATAATTCAAGTTGGCGAACTGATTTAACTTGCCAGCTGCCAATAAATCAGAGAAAAATCAACACATACGAATCATCAATAAATTGATGCATCATGTTTACAATATCAATTGAACGTCGACTAACATGTGGCATGATGCTAGCATCAAGCCACCAAGCACCACCAGATCAAAGATGTTGATTGCCCTTGATGTTCTATTATGGTATGTTTGGCATAGCTTCAGTTCTAGCTCCATCTCTCTTAGCTAGAGCTCAGCTAAACAGTTTCAGCTCCATCTAAAATAGGATGAGAGCTGGGTGGAGCTCTTTCACAAAATAAACTAGAGATGTGGAGCTGGGTTTAGGCAGCTCTACAACTCTACTCCAGACCCAACTTCTAAAGCTAAATTTAGAAGTTGGAGCTCTACCAAATATGTCCTTAGTCTCATGATAAATTTGTAAGCGTCAATAGCAGCCGCACTAGCACTTGAGGTTCCAGTTCCAAAATCCATGGTAGCACTTGATGTGACACATGGAACGAAAGAAAATTGTTGTGCCTGGAGACGGAGGCACTATGTGGGGGCGGCGGTGGTCCTGGACCCCCTGGTCCTGGCGGCGGAGGTGCTGAGCGCTAGCTGCTGCACCCATTAGCGACGACCCTGTAGCTTGCACGCTCTGCTTCATTGCGGCCAGGTACGTACGGGATACGTATCGGGCCATATCCGATACGTTCCGTTCGCGTATCCGATACGGATACGTGGCTTCTCTGCGGTAAGAAGGGGCGAGAGTAGGGGAGAATCCTAGCATATCTTAATCTTAACTTAATTAAAAGATTAGTATTTTTCCTTTCGTCACATTATGCCTTCGTTCGTCATAATCCGCTTTTGTCCATTGCGATTGCAAGCCTCCGTTTCCCGTTGCCCTCCGCCTCAACTCGAGAAGCCAACCGAATCGGAAACATGAACACATTAGATCCAACCCAAAAGTTCCTCAAACTAAACCTATCTTGTAAATAAATTGGGCAAAAAAACAAGTTTATGGCAACAAAAATTGGATCCAAGAATAAAATGAAGAGAAATCTGTGGGAAAATAGGATGGATGGGAACGTCGCCCTTTGCACTCGGGTCGACGATGTGTGTTAACCTATCGCACAAAACGGCGATGGAGAAGATACATATAGGCATGCGCTATGGATAGAACGGCCGGATCCTAATTACATGTGATCACAACAACCTCAGCTAATCTATAGCTTAATCTACTGGCCATCCTAATCCAAAGCACACGGATTACACAGGGATATACTCTAACACTCCCCCTCAATCTGAACTTCTCAAGTTTAGATTGTTTCTAAACATCTCTAACTGTTTCACTCCAAGAGGCTTGGTAAATCCATCAGCTACCTGATCTCCAGAAGAAATATATTCAACCTCAAGTAACTTGTTCAGAACCCGTTCTCTGACAAAGTGGTAGTCCACTTCAATATGCTTAGTGCGAGCATGAAAAACTGGATTAGCAGACAAATGCTTGGCTTTAATATTGTCACACCAAATCTTTGCTGATCTCGGTGCATGGACATCGAGTTCATCCAACAATGTCTGAATCCACATTACCTCAGTTGTAGCATTTGCTAAAGCCTTATATTCTGCTTCTGTACTGGACCTGGAGACTGTAGCTTGTTTCCTTGCACTCCATGACACAAGATTGGAGCCAAGATAAACAGCAAACCCTCCAGTGGACCGCCGGTCATCAAGACACCTAGCCCAATTTGCATCTGTAAAGGCACTAACAAGTGTAGATACTGATCTATCAAAATTTATACCCAGACTTGCTGTGTATTTCAAATATCTCAAAATTCTTTTGACTGCTGCCCAGTGAACAATTTTAGGTGTCTGAAGAAATTGACAAACCTTATTAACAGCAAAGGATATATCTGGTCTAGTCAAAGTCAAATACTGCAAAGCTCCTGCTATACTTCTATACTGAGTAGCATCATTAGGTCCTAATTGATCACCTTCATGCAAAGACAATTTTTCTGTAGTTGACAGAGGTGTATTTACCGGTTTGCAATCAACCATATTTGTTCTCTTCAACAAATCAGATATATACTTGCCCTGTGACAATATTAGACCATTGTTTACCTTGTTAACCTCAATGCCAAGGAAATAATGAAGCTCTCCAAGATCTTTCAGCGCGAAATCTTCATTCAGATCACAAAGAAGAGCTGACACTGCATCCTTAGTAGAACTAGCAACTATAATATCATCCACATATATCAAGATAAACATGGTTATACTGCCTTTGTTGAAGTAGAATAAAGATGTATCTGCTTTAGATGGCTTAAAGCCTAACTGTTGCAATTTTCCACTTAACCTTGCATACCAAGCCCTTGGTGCTTGTTTTAAACCATACAAGGCTTTATCCAACTTGCAAATAAAGTTTGGTTTAGAAGAATTTTCATACCCTGGGGGTTGTCTCATGTACACCTCCTCCTCTATCACTCCATACAAGAAGGCATTCTGAACATCCAGTTGTTGTAGACTCCAACCCCTGGACACAGCTATAGACATGACAGTTTTGATAGTAGCAGCTTTAACAACAGGACTAAAAGTATCTTCATAATCTATGCCATACCGTTGTTTAAAACCTTTTGCTACTAGTCTAGTTTTATACCTGTCTAGGCTTCCATCAGCCTTTCTTTTAACCTTATATACCCATTTACAATCAATGATATTTACCTTCTTGATAAGGAACAAGGTGCCAGGTTCTATTCTTCATTAATGCTGAGTACTCTGCATCCATTGCATCTTTCCACTGTTTGTTTCCTAGTGCTTCCTCCAAATTGCTCGGCTCACCTGCAGAAGTAAAGCAGGAGTATCGCACAGTACCATCTATATATACCTTGGGTTTCCTGATGCCTCCTTGTAATCTTGTTCTAGGCCTGCAGCACTGGATTGGACAACGGAACTCAGCTCAGTGTCCTGCATGGCTGCATCATTAGGCTGTGTTTGGTTTGGGGATGGGATAGGATGGGTTGGTTCCATCCCTGTTTTTTTACCCTTTTTGGAATGGGATGGTTATGTTTTTTTGTTTGGTTGAAGGGATGGAACGGATCCTGTTTTTTATTTGGTTTGAGGGATATGATGGGTTGGAATGATCCTATCTTTTGTTTTCTTGGATACAATTACCTCCACACATTAGTTGGTGAAGTTACCTCTCATAGTCTACAAACTACGAAATAATATTTCTACATGATGACCACACTATATATCACAAAAATAAAATACCTTTCATATCACTATAATTGAAAATAAGCTCCAGCAGCTTCATTACTACAGCCAAGAACAGTGGAAGCTTTAGGATTTCAGCATATTGGACAAGCTACCAAATGATGAACAATACTAGTAGTTCCATAATCAACCCCTCAAAAAACAATCACACATAATTAGCTCACATCTGATCCCATTTCAACCCATACATAGAGTCCAAGCCAAACATAATAAGAAGTTCCAAGTCGTGCACATAATAGCAAATTAAGGTCTTACACATAATAGCAAATTTAAGTCTTACACCTACTAGAGAGTTCACTGCCTTAAACATATTGGCAGTACAAGTCATACATGACCATGGCCCCACCGGCAACACATAATACCAAAAGAACTACCCAACTCATCCAACAACTCTACATTGATCTAGGAAACTTCTCATTAATGAACAAGTGGACCCAATGCATCTTCTTTTCGAAAGGAAGTCCGTCAAAAGCTCTAGCAATGTGAGGGTTGGCAACCAAATGAGCATAGTAAACAGATACATGGATCTCCTCAAACCCAGGAAGGCTTTTCAAGGTTTCAAATAAACCATCTGGCAGTTTATTGTCTGGCTCAGCGACCTTTAGTTAGCAGAAGCTAACTTGTCACCAACACTGGTGAATGCACCAATCAGCCCATCATCTTCAATTTCTTGTGTTCTAGCTTTCTTTGGCTTGCTTGCAGATGATGCCTCCGCACGATCATCAGTAGTGGCAGGGCCATCATTTTCCTCTTCATCATTTTCAGTTTGGACATCTTCTGTTCCTAGGACTGAACTTGAGTCTTTTGCATACTTTCCTGTAGCCATGGTGCTACGAAATATTGTAAGCATCTCACCATAGTACGCAAGAGGTTTGTTAAAATAATCAGCATCAGCCTTGTGATCATTCAGTGAAACAAAATTTTTGTTTAAGTAATTGCAATAAAAATATGAATGGAATAAACCACTAGGTCAAGAGTCAAGACATTTACCTCAATATAGCCATTGTAGTGCTCATCATCAAGAGTAATGATGAAAATTTTCTCATCCCAACCAGCAGCACTCACTTTCCTAAGCCTATTTATCTTTGTAAACTTTCTTTGCCATGTCTTCAAATGATTCTTAATTTGCTCACCCGTGAGAGTACTGTTGAACCTTTCATTCATAGCCCTAGCACATGTGTTGAGATGCACTGCCTTGAAGTCAGATGAGGTCCTTGTGCCACCGGCCACAAGATTAGCAAGGAGTTTCAGCATGAAAGATGACATAGCTGAGGTCCATGAAGCATGGGTGCTTCCTCCTTTGCCACTAGTGTTGTCCATGTCCTACCTTCTGTCAAATGAACCAGAAATTGATCATTCAGCAATATAGTAAACAGAAATTGTCCATTAAGCAGCATATTAACCCAGAAATTAAACATTCAGCAATATGTTAACCCATAAATTCACCATTTAGCAAATACTTTGAACCCAGAAATTCAGTATATAGCAATACATCAACCCAGAAATTCACCATTCAGCAATACATCAACCCATAAATTCAGCATTCATCAAACCATAAATTCAGCATACAACAATAAATTTATCCGTACAAATGAAATTTAGCAAATGGAGTACAACAAGCTGTCCATACAAATGAAATACATAAAAATGTTCATTGAATACTAATGAAATATAGTAAATAAGGTAGAAATACAAGTAGCCCAGCTACATATTACATTCCATGATGGCTATTACGGTCAGCCCACATCTGATTAGCTAAGCCCTGCCTGAATTGAACCATCAATGCATGGTCATTCGCTTGGCCGGTTGATTCATCAATGTCCTCACTTGACCAATCAGACGAAGCTATAAGCTCATCAATTCCGTCATTTACGACCCAGTTATGAATAATACAACAAGCTACAACAATATCTACTTGAGTTCGAAATGGGAAGAATGGAGTGGCATCATCAAGCACTTTGAAGCACTTTGAACCTCCTCTTTAGTGACCCAAATGCACGTTCAACCATCACACAGAGGGATGAGTGTCTAAGGTTGAACAACTCCTTCTCATTTTGTACCGGATTATTCCCCCATTCATTCAGGTGGTACCGGACAGCACGAAAAGGAGGCAAGAATCCTTGTTTGGCTCCATATCCAGCATCAACTAGATAGTATTTGCCTATTATATGATGGACAAGTTGGTCACATTCCTAAATATCAACATTTGTCATGGATAATTTGATAAACTATAGTAATCTATTACCTTGTGGGACACGGAGGCCATTTTCACGTTCCAAAGCATCTCTTAAAACTACAGCATGATGTGCTGTCCCCTCCCAACCAGCCAAGACATAAGTAAACCGAAGATCAAAATCTACGGCTGCCATTACATTTTGAGTGGCATGGGACTTCCTACCACGAAAAGAAGACTCCACGTTCTTACGAACCGAGACTCTAATATGTGTGCCATCAAATAGCTCCAATACAATCCTATTTTGTGTTCAACAACATTAAAAATTAGGGACCATATATCAATGTTCACATAAAGATAAATTTAGATAGGGATGAATCTCAGACCTTAAAGTAAGGATCTCTTCTAGGGTTTCCTGCTATTTTAGTTGGAGTGTCCAATGAGGGGGGCCTGATTAGTTCATCTCGTACCTCACCGATTGCATGAAGGACTTTGTTGAAATAACGGCTAACTGTTTCTCCAGACCTATGAAAACTAGTGCGAACTAATCTATTTCTAAGGTTATGTCCCACTGTATGCAAAAACATAGCCACTTGTTCCTCAATACACATGTGGATGGCATCTTCAAGTAAACCACGATCCCTAAAAAGCTTACAGAAACGAAAGAAACTTGCCCTTCTAAGTCTAAACATGTTGATACAAGTTGTATCGTTCCACCAAATTTTTGTTTCTAGGTAGTCAATTCTTTTCCTATCCCTTTCAACCAATGGGCCATATCTAATACCTTATCTCCTTGAACATCTCTTTCTTTTTCTAGACCTAATAATCATGGCCATCATCGACAACAATAAATTTGTAGCAGCAATACAAACTAAAACCTTGGTCCTCTTGTCCATCTACAATACAACAACCAAAAAAACACATGGCCATCATCTACTGTCAAGAAATTTACAACAGCGATTGATATATGCACAGATCTTGAACAGCAGCAATTGATTTCACACATTCTTGAACAAAAACATATATGCACATATCTGAAAACGAAATCCTCATCCAAGGTTTAGGGTCTTTTTACCGTGGTGAATGGGAACCCCGATGTGCAGTTGGAGGCTACGAACGGCCCTACTCGTGCGCCGCGTCGCCCTTCCTCGAGAGCCGCCGCGCCACTGCTCGCGCGCCGGCTCGAGCGTCGCCAGCTCGAACTCCTGCTAGCGCCGCCGCCGCCTCGCCTCTGCGTGTGCCGCTGCCGCCTTGCCCCTGCTCGCCGACCCTTTGCTCGCGCACCGCCTCGAGCTCCCGCTAGCGCCGCTGCCGCCTCGCCCCCGCGCGCGCCGTCGCCGCCTTGCCCCTACGCGCTGACGAGAGACCCCGGGCGTGCCGCGCCGCCTCGCCCCTGCATGCGCACCGGCTGGCCCCAGCCCACGCTCGCGCCGCCGCCACCCGTGTGTTGCTAACCCTAGGAAGGAAGCGATAAGAACGGGAAGAGATAAGAACGAAGGGGAAAAAAGAGGTGAAGCGAAACTTTCGGTCTTACCGCGCGTGAGTCGCGAGTCACGGGCATGGGGTGGGATCGTTTTGTCCGCCAGTTTATCCCAGATGGGGTTGTCCCGAATATTGAAGGAATATTCCCTTTTGGAACCATCCTATCCCTCCTTGTCCTTCAACTAAACAGACCTAAAAATGGGACGATCCCATCCCATCCCGGGATATCCTCCCAACCAAACACATGCTTAGTGTCAGCTCTCGTACCGGTCTCATCATGGCTCGGCACAGAAGTGGTCTGGTGCGGCGCCGGACTTGGTAAAGTAAACAGCGACGTGTCGCCGCCTGAGTGGAGTGGAGCAGCCGCGCCGTGCGTCTGCTGGGCCAGTGTCTGTGCTGTCTGCCGTGTCGCGTTAGGCTCCGATCCAGAAGCGATTTCTCCTGCGCCATGCGCTTCAAACGCCGGTGTTGGTGATGCTAGGTCCACACCTTCATCTGTACCCGAATCATCTGAATTGCTACCAGAAAATTCATTAGCAGTATTAGGAAAATCAAGAACATGATCACTCTGTTGCTCGCCCCCTTGATCATGCGCTACAAGGTCAGATGGAAGCAAAGCTATTTCTGCTCTTAGGCGGGCGCCTGCATTTGATTTTAATTGAGAAAATGGGAAGACCATTTCAACAAAGATCACGTCCTGCGAAACATAAACTCTCCCAGAAAGCAACATCAAGGCACTTAAACCATTTATGAAGCTGGCTGTAACCAAGGAACACACATTGCTTGGACCGCAATTGGAGTTTGTGATTGTTGTAGGGGCGCAAATGCAGCCAGCAGGCACACCCAAAGATTCTAAGAGCAGAATAATCAGGTTTTTGATGGAACAGGCGTTCAAGGGGTGTTTCAAAGGAAATAACCTTGCTAGGAACTCGGTTAATAATATATGCGGCTGCTAAAACGGATTCATCCCAATATTTTAGTGGCATAGATGCATGAGCTAGAAGAGATAGACCTACTTCTACTATATGACGGTGTTTACGTTCTACTGCCCTGTTCTGCTGGTGAGTATGCAGACAGGATACATGATGAGAGATGCCTATTTGCCGAAAGAAAGAATGGAGTTTCTCACATTCTCCACCCCAATCGGTTTGCATAGTGATAATTTTCCGGCCAAACATTCTCTGAACAAGAGCTTGGAATTCATGGAAGACCTGAAAAAATCTGATTTTGCTTTAAGAAGGTAAACCCAGGTAAACTTACTATAATCATCCACAAAACTCACATAATATTTATGTCTACCAACAGAAATAGGAGCAGGTCCGTAGACATCTGAGGAAATGAGTTCCAAAGGAAATTGAGAAACACTAGTAGATCTATTGTAAGGAAGTTGATGACTCTTGGCCATCTGACACACATCACACACAGACTCTTTACTAGCCTTGTCATGACAAGGTAGATTATTTGTGCTAATAACTTTAGACGCTATAGGACTTGAAGGATGACCTAGCCGACTATGCCATCTTGCAAAAGATGGCGCCACACCGTAAACAGCCTTTGGAGAGGATGCAGGAGATGAAGGAGGAAGCGGGTAGAGTCCCTTGTATCGCCGTCCCTCAAGCATTGTTGCCCTCGTAGCCTGATCCTTGACCAAAAAATGTTTTCCATGAAGTTCAACAAATATAGCATTATCGGAGGCAAGTTTTGATGCATAAACTAAATTTTTGGTGGCATGTGGAACATGTAAAACATTTTTGAGGATAAGATTGCGCATAGGGGTTTGCAATATAGAGCGACCAATGTGCTCGATTTTCATACCTGCTCCATTGGCAGTGTGCACTTGATCGTTCGCCTTGTACTTGTCGCTAACCGTGAGCTTGTCCAGTTCACCGGTGATGTGGTCCGTGGCGCCTGAGACCATGTACCGATTGGAGTCGACTCCATTTGTGGAGCTGCATCTGAAATTGCAAGTCACATCTGCTTCCTTTGCCCCTTTGCCCAGCAATTCTGGACGACGATCGGCATTGACCCGCTTATTCAGGATGTTCGTCAACTCGGACGTCTGCGCCCCAATGGAAACCTGCCCGAGCTGCACCACCATGTCTTCTATCTTCTCTGCTTATGGGCACTATGGAACCACAGACACGACGTTGTTTTCCGCAACCTGGATGCTTCAGTTCCGGCAGCAATTAGGAAATGTGTGGACGAATGTTCTCTCTGGTCTGAACGTCTTAAGCCTCCTGATAGAGTTGTAGTTTCAATTTGGAAAGGGATCTTCTCCTCCCCCTTGCAATCTCTTCATGTCATGTAAACTCAGTTGTAACCCTTACTCTATTTATTTAATGCAATTCAGGTGGGGAACCTCTCCCCTCCGGTGACTTATCTAAAAAAAATAGGCGTAGGAGGCTGCTGCAGCAAGGTGTCGCTCATCTGGCACATAAGAATCATCATACCTATGCCAGCAATCTGCTGCAACATGTCCCCGCTTGTAGCACACCAGACACACGGGTCGTGTGTCGTTGCCGGAGCGCTGCTGCTGTCCAGCGCCACGTCCTCCACAGCCGGCGTTTGTGCCAGCACCATTGAAGCCGCCGCGACCACCACGTCCACGGCCGGCACCACCCCGGTTGCTCGGAGCGTTGCCACGGCCGCGCCCGGCTACATTGGCCGTCATGTTGCCTTCTCGTCGTAGATTAAGCCTGTTCTCAAAGTTCAATAGCTGGGCATATGTTTCTGATAGAGTAATAGGTTTAGTTTTGGCCGCTAAAGCCGATACAACAGAATCATAATCATCATCTAAACCATTTAAGATAAAAGCAGTGAGTTCTTCGGCATCGACTTGCTTCCCTGACATCGCTAGTTCATCTGCTAAGGCCTTCATCTTGGCGAAGTACTCTGAGATGGTCTGGGTTCCCTTCCTAGTGCTGGTGAGAGATAGCAGCACGTTGAGGGAGCGCGCGCGAGTCGCCCTGGAGTTGAACATCTCCTGGATCATCTTCCAGGCATCTGTCGCTGTGGTCGCCGTGGCAACCTGGGATAATATATTCCGTGACAGCGATGAAAAGAGGAAGCCGAGAACCTGTTGATCCGCGGCAAACCACTCTTTCGTACGCTGGGTTGTCGATCATGATCTTGATCTTCGTCTTGTCATCTTCTTTCTTTTCTGCTTCGATGTGGGCGGCGGGAGTGACGGTCTTGCCTTTCAGATGCCCCTTGAGGCGTGCCCCACGAATCGCAGTCAGCACTTGTGCGCACCACAGCTGATAATTTTGCTTGCTCAACTTCTCAGAAACATTGAAGCAGAACAAGGAATTTGTGGAGGTGGAAGAGGAGGAGCTAGCCATGGTAGATGGGATCTAACTTCAGCGCTCTGATACCATGTGGGAAAACAGGATGGATGGGAACGTCGTCCTTTGCACTCGGGTCGACGATGCGTGTTAACCTATCGCACAAAACGGCGATGGAGAAGATACAAATAGGCATGCGCTATGGATAGAACGGCCGGATCCTTATTACATGTGATCACAACAACCTAAGCTAATCTATAGCTTAATCCACCGGCCATCCTAATCCAAAGCACACGGATTACACAGAGATATACTTTAACAAAATCGAGTTGAAGAAAAGACAGAAAATCAAATATAAACTCACAGAATCGAAGACAAATAGTATCTGATCCAGCCAAGGTGGAAAATCGCTCTGCTTCTTTCAAGTGAGGTTGATGCTGGCCGGGAGCGGCTGCGTTGATCCGCGTCACCTGCGCCCAATCCATGCCGGGATGGAGGAAGAGAGAGCAGAGCGAGGAGAGGAGGACAGGGACCTACCAGGGAGCTAGCCAGCCCATGCAAGCTCGATCTGCGCGGCCACGGACCTGGCCGGTCCACGCTGGCGCGAATCCGCACCATGGATTCTACCGGCGGCAAGCTCTTCGACTCCAGGCTCCAGGGTCCAACCCCCGCAAGCGAGAATTTTCAGAATATAACACCCAATACGCACTGCTTTCAGGATTTGTCACCTAATTCGCACTACTTTCAAAATACAACACTAGAGTGCAAATTTTCTTTGTTCCGTGCTATTCCATCCCCTACCGTCAGTCGCGCCGTCGTTCTCCATCCTCCCGACGTCGCCGTCATCAGTCAGCCACCGCTCGCGCCCGTGTTAGCCGCGCCGCCGCCCGCGTCAGCCCCTCCGTCGCCCGCGTCAGCCCCACCGCCGCCCGTCGGCGTCGAGCTCCGGCGACTGAGCTCTATACCAGCTCGAGGCCGCGGTGGCGGAGGTTGGACTGGCGACGGCGGCTGAGCTCGGGGATGACACGAGCGAACCGAGCCGCCGTCGCTCCGGTGGTCGAGCTCCGGCGGCTGACCTCCTCCAAGCCACCGTCGACGGCGTCCTCCGCATCCCCATCGAGTCGCCCTCCGCCGTCGCGGCGGCTGCCCGCGGCGACGAGCCCACCGCGAAGCGGCGCCGCAAGCTACAGCCGACGCGCGCGGCTGTCGGCGGCCCGGTGGAGGCGCTGGCCACGGCTCCTCCCCCCGCGCTACCCCCATCGTCGCCGACCCCCTCCTCCAAGCCAACAGTGGCGGCTCGATCTCAATATCCGGCACGGCGGCAAGCAGGCGATGTCACCGGCGACCGTGTGGATGGTCCCGCCCAGCAGCGCAGGCGCTGGTGTGGGGAGGACAAGCTCGCCGGCGTGGGGGAGGACGAGCTCGCCGGCGGTGAGGGCAAACGGGGCGAGAGGAATGAACTGACGACGCGCGGTTTTGGGATGACGGAGTGTCACGGAACGAAGAAAATTCACACTCTAGTGGTGTATTCTGAAAGTAGTGTGAATTGAGTGACAAATATTGAAAGCAGTGTGTATTGAGTGTTATATTCTGAAAATTCTCCCCGCAAGCAGATGATGAGGTCCCTGGAGAACTCGTTCGCTCGTCGGTGGAAGTGGGAAAGAAAGGGGAAAAACTAATGAGGAGAGAGAGGGAACAATTAAGTGGAAAATAATGCAGACAATGTAGAGAGGCTGAGAAATGGGCCAACAAAGTTGCATTTGCAATTATATTATTTTTATCTAAGGTTACTAAAATATAATAATTACTATTTTGAGAAAAATAATAATTGAGAAAATATAAGGACTAAAATATTATAGGGTTAATTGGATCATACCACTGCAACTTTGGCAAATTAAAATTTCCAGTGGCATACAGCAGATATGACGAATAGTAGTTGCATTTTTTTTTCTTAATTTGGCAAAGTTGTAGTGGCATGGATCCAATTAACCCAATATAATAAGAGCATGGCTAAAATACAAAGAAATCCTCCTCATTAAATTATAAAATAAAGTTTAACTAAAATAAAAAATAATTATATAAAAATATTTTAATTGGTGTGTTTTTGTCCGTGTTTTCGTCCGTCATCGCACTAATTTTTCATCTATCCGTACGAGTGCATTCGATTTCCGATTTGCGGGAAAGGCCGCTTTCATCCCTCAGTGCACCTTAGAAAAATCACTAAATCATCAGAATCGGATACATGGAAACACTTCCCAAAATCAGCGCAACAAAATCGGATGCACACACCACAAGGAAAAAACAAAATTCCCACAGCTAGGTTGTTCCAAAATTTCAAATTCCCAATTCGAAATTGAAATTCTAACTAAAAGGAGAACTTGTGAATTCAAATCAGACTCTAATCCACCCAAATAGAATCAGAAAAGAGATCCACAGGAGAACTCTAATCCAATGCATATTCGATTTGGACTCGAACAGATAAAACCAACCCCATAAATACTTCCACGGGATTGCTACAAAAATCAATCGGATCTAACCTGATTTTGCGGAGGTGACTTTGACTTGCAGTTGTGAGCTCCAAGCGGGAGTGCACGGCTTCGGCGGACGGTGGAAGCTCAGCGCTTTAGTGAGGAGGCAACCGGGCTCCGATTTGGCAGGGATGTCGAGGAAGCAGGCGGCGGTGACAGCTTCAGGAGGCAGAGGGATTATGCTCGGAAGTCGGCCACTAGAAGCCTTGAACTTAGCAGCCGGATCGGCTGCCCACTGCCTCACCGCCGCTGGCATGCTTCCCAACGCCGGATCCACCACCCACCATGCTCGCCACTACCCTCGAACCTCCCCCACCGCCCCCTAGCCTCGCCGTCACCCACGCGCCTCCCAACACCGGATCCATCGCCCACCAGCGTCGTCGCCGCCCGCGCGCCTTGGCCGTCTTAGCTGCTGCGGAGCCGTCACCGCTATGGCCGCCTTGGCCATCGCCGCCACGGCCGCTGTCGCTGTGGCTGCCTTGGCCATTATTGCCGCGGCCACCGTCGCTATGGCTGAGAGGGAGTAGGGAGCAAAGAGAGGAAACGAAGGACAGGAAAGGAGATCGATCTGTGCCAGCCGCCACGAGGGGGGAGGGATTGGCACCGGCCCACTGCGCAAGGGAGTCGGAGAGGCGCCGACGCAAGCAGAACATACTTTAGGTGCTTCGATGAATCATCGAGGTCAAACTTTATAAACCTAGCCATTATCTTGTGCAACGCACGGACATTTTGCTAGTTTACACAGATGACCCCTGCTGCCCAAGTGGAGAGCGGCAAGGTGTGCGTATTTTGCACTGATATCCCTTACCACCCTCTACAAGAGCTGCATGGGGGTAAATGTAATTTTTACCCTGCCAAAAATGCATTTTTCTTTTTTTTTTCAACTTGTCCGTCCCTCACGTCTCTCAACTTCTGTAAATATTTTTACCAGTACAATATTTCTGTAAATATTAAAAAATAAAAAATGAAAAATGAAAAAAATTCGTCTCGTGCCCGTGCCCTTCCGACGGCGGTGGCTTCCAAAGTTCCAACCCGCATCCGGTTCGCTGAGCCATGGGCCGTGGGCTGTGGCCCAACTATAGCGGCTGTAAGAAAGAGAATTTTTTTCGGTTTTAGATTTTTTTTAATATTTACAGAAATAATCTATCGACCAAAAAAATTGCAGAAATAGCCCCTGCCGCCCACCTCTGGGGCGGCAAGCTGACGTGGCAAACGGGGGAGGAACGGGCGGTGACGGAGGGAGGGTTTTTTGCAGGAAAACCCTTGCCGCCCTCTGGTGGGGCGGCAAGGGGCCCGAATGCAAAAAAGCCAGTCGGGGCCGGCTATTTTGCAGGCGGCCCCTTGCCGCCCTCTGGCCGGGCGGCAGGCCTCGCTGCCTATAAAAGGCCTGCTGCCCAGCCCTCAGCCCTCATTCTTCTCTCCTCAATTCCAGTGAAAAAAAAAAGAAGAGAGGGGAGGAGAAGAGAAGAAGGGGCGAAGCCCTGCCGGATTCAGACGCCGATTTCAGGTAATATTCATAGATCCTATATGTGACTATTGAGTTAAATAGTGTGTATTCTTTAAAAATTTGTTTGAATAAATGCATTATATTTTTAGGGTTTTAGTTGTACTAATCTAGAAGTGCGTATTGTAGATATCGGTAACTACGTAGATCTGCTAGTTTGGAATTAATACATTACCGTTGCATTGGCTTACACAAGAAGATATTACGTTGTAGATGTTTATTGCATGAAAGAGTAATATGATCTAGTTATTTCGTTGACAGATATGTCGAACAAACAAATATTCCAAGTTTACCATGGACCAGGAAACGTCCGTTACGGGCCAACTGGGGTAGATCTGTCAAATTTTATTGTATTAGAAAGGGGAATTGAGAGACCGGCTGAGAGGAGTGTACCTTCTATAAAAGGATGGTTAATGAGGGGCTTGAGAGTTGATCCACAGACAAGTGACATAACAGTCAATGTTATAGTAAGTCGGGCAACTGAGGGTTTTTATTGGGAACTAATGCCAGTTCAAAACTCTCGAGTGTGGAGATGGTATTTGGAAAATGCATTGCAACGCGGGTGGCCTCTAGCTTTGGTTCCGTTTGTTCACCCGAAGGATCCAGGTGTGCAGATGAACATGGATGATGGCGAGGGACCAAGTGCTGAAGTAAACGAGACTTCTGTGGAGGAGGTCAACGCACGAGAGGACGGGGGCGTAGTAGCTCCAGTGGGCATTCAACCAGGTGGAGTGGCTGACGAGGGGGAGACTGTCGGTGCCATTGTGGATGAAATGGAGAGGGAGGATTCTGACAACGAGCGTGTAGAGGAAGGTGATTCGTCAGATGATAAGACGGATATTAATCCAGCAGAATGGGCTAGTGAGGATTTTTCTGGGCTGATCGTCTCTGAAGAGGATAGTGTGAGATGGGAGTACAAAGAAAATGAGGTTATTCAGGGAGCGATTTATAGTAGAGCAGAAGATATGAAGGAGGCGGTAAAACATTTTGCAGTGTCACTTCATAGAGAGTTTTGGGTTGCCAAGTCGAACCGGTCGCAATATGAAGTTCGGTGTGTTAAGGAAAAAGATGGTTGTCCCTGGAGAGTGCACGCGTATAAGGGGAAATGGAAGGATTATTCAGATGAACATGGATGATGGCGAGGGACCAAGTGCTGAAGTAAACGAGACTTCTGTGGAGGAGGTCAACGCACGAGAGGACGGGGGCGTAGTAGCTCCAGTGGGCATTCAACCAGGTGGAGTGGCTGACGAGGGGGAGACTGTCGGTGCCATTGTGGATGAAATGGAGAGGGAGGATTCTGACAACGAGCGTGTAGAGGAAGGTGATTCGTCAGATGATAAGACGGATATTAATCCAGCAGAATGGGCTAGTGAGGATTTTTCTGGGCTGATCGTCTCTGAAGAGGATAGTGTGAGATGGGAGTACAAAGAAAATGAGGTTATTCAGGGAGCGATTTATAGTAGAGCAGAAGATATGAAGGAGGCGGTAAAACATTTTGCAGTGTCACTTCATAGAGAGTTTTGGGTTGCCAAGTCGAACCGGTCGCAATATGAAGTTCGGTGTGTTAAGGAAAAAGATGGTTGTCCCTGGAGAGTGCACGCGTATAAGGGGAAATGGAAGGATTATTGGACAGTGTCAGTTGTTACGAAGCATACATGTTTTCTACCTGGTGTTCAGAAATACCACAGGAACATTACATGTGCATTTGTTGCATCTGAGATGTATGTGCATGTCATCGATAATCTCACATATGAACCAAGGTCAATAATCCGACACATTGAAGAGACATACAAATATACTATTAGCTATGCCAAGGCCTGGAGGGCCAAACAAAATAATAGAGATGAGATTTGGAACTTGCGAAGCCTCGTATGACAATTTGCCACGCCTGCTTGGTGTTATCGAGGAAAGAAACCCTGGGAGCTCTTACGAAGTGAAGAAATTCCCCTCAATTGAACATCTTGGCAAGAGTGTGCTGCAAAGGGCGTTCTTAGCTCTACATGCATGCAAGATGGCATTCGTGAACTGTCGTCCTGTTCTCTGCATTGATGGGACATTCTTGACAGGAAAGTATCGGGGCCAGATACTAACAGCAATAGGGGTAGATGGGAACAATCAGGTATTGCCCTTGGCATTTGCTTTTGTTGAGAGTGAGAATACCGACAGCTGGTACTGGTTCCTGAAATTGGTTAAAACAAAAGTTGTTGGTATGAGGCCAAATGTATGCCTGATACATGATAGGCACGCTGGCATTCTGCGAGCGATAGGAGAGTTGCAGTTTGGGAGTATGGAACGAGGATACCCCGGTGTTTGGGAAGATGTACAGAGTAGGTGGTGCATGCGTCATATGGGAGCTAATTTCTTCAAGCAATTCAAGAACAAGGAGCTCATGAACATGTTCAAGAGGCTGTGCAATCAGAACCAGGAGAAAAAATTCAATGAGCTTTGGAAGAGATTAGATGAGTTGACAGCCAAATGCAGTGATCAGCGTGCAACGGCTCCATCGACCGCCGTTGCTGACCCTCCTCAAGCTCTTGGACCTCTCCCAACGGATAGTCCAACATTGGTTAGAAGAACTGGATTGGAGATTCGGAAATTTTCTCAGTGGATTCTGCATGAACCAAAAGAGAAATGGGCCAAGGCGTATGACACAGGTGGTGCTAGATATGGAATAATGACAACAAATTTGGCAGAAGTTTACAACTGGGTGATGCGCGGTGTCCGTGGACTGCCACTAGTTGGCATAGTGGAGTTCATTTTACATGGGACATGCAGGTATTTTAGGGATCGGTTCCAGGCAGTTCTTCCCTCTATGCCGAACAACAGCATTTTGTTTGGAGCTTTCATGCAGAAAAAGCTAGAGGAGTTGCGTAAAAAGGCCATGAAACATCGAGCTCTAGTGCAAGGTACCCAACAGCACAGGTTTGAGATACTATGTCAAGATAAGGCAGGCAGGGGTATCTACCGCAAGAGAGTGAAGCAGGAGTGTGTTCTCAAAGCCGACGGCACATGCCATTGCTCTTGTGCAAAGCCGAAGCTGCTCCACAGGCCATGCACCCATGTCATTGCTGCCGCAGCGGAGTGTGGCATACCAGATGCAGTATATGTGTCACAGTACTTCAGTAAGCAAGCAATATATCATACATGGAGCGGCGAGATTTATGGGTTCGGCATAGCTGGGGAGTTCACAGAGACTAACGATGAAGTACTCAATATTCCTGACCCATCGAAGCTCCGAGGCAAGGCTGGAAGGAGGAGGACTCGTCGCATCCGCAACGATATGGACGAGTCGGAGGCTGGCAGGGTGAAGCGTTGCAGCAAATGCGATGAACATGGGCACACCTACAAGCATTGTCCTAAAGACAAGGAGAAACCAAGTGCAGCGGAGGCAGGACTATCAGGATCAGCAGCAGATGGAGCTCGCCCTACGGGTGAAGGCACTACCTCCACTCGACCACGTCCTAGGCGTCGTCGTGCCACGTCTGGCTACGTGGTGTAGTTCTTATGTTCTATGTCGGCATGTGGATTTGCTTGTAATTCGTTTCGAACTTATCGATGTGTTTATGTTTCGTCGTGTAATGTCAGACTTCGGCATGTCATGTCTTTAGGTCTCGTGATGTAACGTCGGACTAAGGCGCCTAACGTCTTTAGGTATGCTGATGTATGTCGGACTTCGACACGTAATGTTATATTATATTATTGAACTCTACATATATGTTAAATTGCACGTCATCGTTATGTACCATTAGTAACGTTTGCTATATTTAAATAGCCTGTACTCTTGTTGTACATAATTAATCTCATGATTTTATTACTATTTCATAATTTTGCAAGTTATCTTTTGTTTTACATTACTATTTTTTGAATTGTTCTAACACGAAACACTATATTTTTCAGAGATGGCACGTCAGGATACACCTCAGTTGTTGGACCCGGCGATAGATCACCGACACCGGTCTCACCTTACTGCGGTGCAGGGGGCTCAGCTTGGGACGTTCCGGGCACGGACGTGCAGTGAGCTACTCACGGTTCACCACTCCTTTGTCGAGAGGTACGAACAGTGTTTTACTATAAGTTAGTTGCACTGTAATATTTTTTATAATGACATATTAATTTGTTATTGCAGGCTACGTGAGGCCGGCCTCCTACCGATGTGTCGGCTGGTGGAGGCTGCGG